TAGATATTTGGAGTCTAAAATATTTTTTTTTCTCAACTTGCTAGCGGGTGTTTTAAATTTCAGTCAGCAGAAGTATTATATTAGCATGGACCCATTTGGGTCAATTCATTTTGAGGAAATAATAAATAAGTAAACTATTTGGTTAAAATTTGGAAATAAAACAATTTGTTCTTGTCATCTGGTGGAGCTTAAATTATGAAAAATAGCTCTATAAACGTTTAACTAATCCAAGAATCTAGTTCGAGGTGGTTGCTGGCTTTATTCCATGATGTTGTGCATAATGTCCTGAAATTTGCTGAAAACCTCTGCGTTTGAATGTGAACTACATTCTAAGATGATGTTTAATAATTTTTATTAAATCATTTAGACAGAAGGATAATAGGGAAATAAGACTCTATAACCTGTGCCTCTGGCAGTTAGCTTATGTGCCACAGTTTTAATGAAAGTATTCAGTGATATTGGGATACCCATGAACTCTCTGGAGGGAGGAATTGAGGTAGTTTTGAGTAAGGACAGGCAAGTTTCTCTTTCTCTTTGTATCTCACTGATCAACAGAGGGGGACTGTTTTAAGTGTCCGGAATACTTAATTCTCACTTATTTTGAAAACTGGAGCATTTTAGTTCACGTAGGAGTGCGATCCAAGTATAATAAGGCAATTTTCACATATAGCAGATCAGAATGACTGTCTTAGTTGCATCATCTTCTCGCCACAGATGAGTTGAAGGGTGACAGCTTGGTCCCTGTGGTTAGGTGCAGATATTATTCATCATTGTTTCTTGAACACAGCACAGAGAAGGTCACCAGTGTAATTCTTGTGTGAATGGAATATGGCTCCCTCTGCTGATTCTGTGACCCAGAAACCTTCCTGCACAAAGTCTAGGTGGGATGTAAGAAAGGGGACATGATTAAACAAGGAATTCAGCTGAGACTTTGCCTCTTCTCCTTTAATTCTTCCCACTTAAGGTATTTACTGTATTTATAAAATTTCTCCTCTTATTTTCTTTAGCACAGAGTTCATTTTAACCAAAAGCTCATCTCTAAAAAAACATCAGATCATAGAATCTGGTTGATTCAGTGTATAATTCCCCTTCCTAGAATTGTTTTTTATCCCATTCCTTTAACGATTGACTCTGGATGTATTTTGGTAATTCAGCTATTTGAATTACTCTACTGGAGACTGATTTAGTTCAACATTGCAGCACCTCTTAATATATATTTTCATGTAGTAGAGAAGATGGCTATTAAAAAAAAAGATGGTTATAAATAAAAATTATTTTTATTTATAAAAAATCACCCAATTATGATTTTTCTCAAACTTTAATAACTTCTGAGCCAAGTAATTCTGAAACAGTATAAACAAAATCCCAAATAAATCCTTACAATTTTCTATAAGAACATACGATGACCTGGGGCTGGAAAAATATTTTAAATGGCTGAAAAATCAAATGCTTTATGAAAGTTTGCATTTATTTTAGTGACGTTTTACCCTGGAAGAGCACTGTATTGATTGAGTAATGCCAGTTTATAGTTTCTTCAAATCCTGATTTCCTATGTCAATTTATCCTTAATGTTTTTCTGTTATGTGTAATAAATGGATAATGTGCATTCTGCATAAGAAAAGTTTGTAGCTTGAAGATGTGAAGGTATATTTATGATAGTGAGGTTAACAAAAATGTTCCTAAACCAAAAGGAGCCTTGTCATGAGACACTGGACATATCCAGTTGCATCCACTGTCTGTCATCTTCTTAACCTGAGCAGACACAGTTGATTAAGTGCTTTATCATTTTAATGTTTTCTGTAAAACACATTCATTCTTTTTGCATTTATGTTTTGACCATGTGAGAAATGAACATTGTATTAAGAAAGAGCTATTTTAAAACAGAGATATAAAATACCAGTTACATGAAGGAGTATAGATAGTTTACCGTATAGTATGTTTTTATGTCCAATTTAAACATAGATGCACATATATTAATAGTATTATACATATTTTATGTAGTGTATATATATGTGTATATATATATATACATCCAAATTATATTTAGATATATTTGTGCTATTTGCATTTTTAAGTTGTCTTTAAAAAATCAACTTGTATAATTGTGTCATCCTAAATCCAGAAAGTGTTGTGCGAACGTTAAATAAAATTTGGAATACACCTTTTCGACAACAATTTTAGCAATATACAGATTCTGAAAGAGAAATTAGGCAACAGAGTTTTGTATAAAATGTATGGTTAAAAAGGAAAAAAAATTAAGAAATTCTCAAAGTTAGATTTTATTAATTTTAATTTTAATTTCAATTGATCTTAACCAAATGAAAATACTGAGATAGAATGGATACTAGCATTTTCTTTTCTATTTGTTTGTTTATTATTTTCTTTTGTAATGGTGGGGATTGAACCCAGGATCACACATACTAGGCAAGTGCTCAACCACTAAGCCACATGCCCAACCCAATAATAGCATTTCTTTATCACACTTGTATCCTCTTCCAACAGCCTATGTATGCGGAACTCTTAATCTTCAGTTTAATAAGTACTCTTCATATGTTCATATACAGAAGAAAAGCTGACCTGTCAGTTTCATCTATTAGTTCTAGCACTGTGAGCCAAGTGTAATCATAGGACAAACCCAGGTTGTCTTATGTAAATGATCTATAGCCATTTTTTTTTTTTTTTTTTTTTTACCTAGGAAGTAAGAGTAGATGCATTTATCTTATGTGCCTTTCTTGGCATAGTGATGTGTGTATAAGTGAATTTATATCTGTTGAAAAGGTGATGCTGGTGAACTGCTTGAAATATACTGTTATTTCACCTTGTTTTCTTCATGTTCTAGTTCTGTAAATATAAGCAAGCATTTGGAAGAAAATAAAGTATAAAATGAAGATAAACTTATTCAGTCGTATAACTTTTGTTAGAATCTATATTCTGAACTGCAAATTGCCTCCTAAGTATAAATTACAGAGTTGCAAGTGGGATCAATAAACTAGTAATTAGGTTAGGGTCCCAGGTGGATTTAGATAATTCTCTTGGTTTGTGTATGTGATGAGTTCTGATTTGGTATTTTGACTCTTGACTCCTGTTACAAAATAAGTGGTATAAGAAATATTTCAGGAATTAGAATTTTTGTGCATATTAAAATACTCTAGTTATGTACTTCCTCTTTTTTAAAATTTTTTGATTTTAAGGATTGAACCCAGGTGTGCTTTACCACTGAGCTGTAACTTCAGCCTTTAGGTTTTACATTGAGACAGGGCCTCACTAAGTTATGAGGCTATCCTGGAACTTTCAATCCTCTTGCTTCAGCTTCTTGAGTTGCTGGGATTATAGGCAGGTGCCACCGTGTCCAGTTCTAGCTACTTTATTCTTTACCCAAAAAAATCAAATTAAATAGTACATTATTTTCATGTGTATCTATAAAGTACTAATTTAAAAAAAAACCCCTATAAATGAAAAGAAGGAAGAGCAGTAGAATAGATGAAAAGTAACAGGGAGTAGGAGGAGTGGAGAGTAAGGGGTGTACTAGGGATTGAATTGGAGTAAATTATATTTTATGCTAATTATGTCAAAATCAACTCAGATATCATGTATAAATATAATGCACTAATTTTTTAAAAGGAAAAAAAGCGATTCTAATGAAATTCTAGTCCTTCAGTTACATTCAGTATTATGAATCATATTTTCTAATATTCATATAGATCTTCTTTGTTCTTCAGAGAAACCTATATTTTATTTATCTTGAGTCTCATGGAGTATTTTTCAAGTAAAAATGGCTGGGACTGACTTCTGTATCAAACAAATTGGGAAACAAAGCAAAACATATTTTTCTCTTAGAGATTTATAAGTACAGTCATGTACTGAAGCTTTGTGGAGTCCTGCCCTCAAGTGACAATTGTTGCTGTTTTCTAATGCCATGACTATTGAATACTTTTTCCATGACATCTATTAATAACCAGCGATTTTTAAAATATACTTTGAGATATATTTACTAAGTTTTCCCAAAGTTTTGTTTTCTTAAAAAAATCTATATTTTGTGTCTGCTTCTAATATAATTTTAGAATATTGGTGTTGGTGGATTATTTAAGAGGTAGAGAACAAACATTCTTACCGAGTGTTCAGATTACTGCCAAAGACAGGGACTGCATCTACGTCTAGATGAAAAAGGGAAACCAGCATAGGTGTTTTATTCTTGTGGTGCACACACTGGTCTCAGACACAAGAATAGGAATTTAAAGTTTTTTGACAATCATTTTATTCATCCTCCCTTTTCCATTGTCCCTCTGTAGCCCCATTTGTAGCCCTAATTCATATTTATGGTATATTTCTGCAACACTTATGTGCAAAATTGCCCATTCATATTTATTCTTGCTGAAAATCCAATGTCATTTCACCTCTTAGATTCAATATGAGAGTTGCAGTGCCTTGATAAACCTATTTGTTTGCTATCTAGATCCAGATTCAATATGAGAGTTGCAGTGCCTTAGATAAACAGATTTTTTTTTTTTTTGCTATCTAGATCCAGTTGCTTTCTAAATCTCATGAGGAAATTTCTACCAATATTGCATAGATAACACATTTTTCAAGAATCCATTTAATACTGGAGATTTAAATATATTTATGTATGTATTTTTTAAATCATACTTTTAACAGAATATTGGTAAGGTGCTTGTATTACCTGCTTCTGAAGTTATCCTGTTTTTTCTTAATATAGGTGTGTGTTTATCCATGATGTCAATAATGCATTTGACACACAATTCCAGTACTATACTGAGGTTTTTTTCTCAAATGCAAGGTGTGCTTTTTTAACACCACTGATATACAGTTTTAATCTGTTCTTATAAACATTGACTTATCTTTATGGATTTCTGTGGAATATACTGAGAAAGGAATATTATGGGAAGTTTATTGTTTAAAACATGCTTAAAATATTTATAGTGTTTGATCCAGTATTCTGTTTTATTCTACTCAGTAAAGCACTCTTCTTTTCTTTCTTGTAGAGCAATGAAGTTGTCTACTACAATGCCAAGGATGATCTTGATGTGAGTATTAAAATTTTTACATTAAGTTCTTAATTAAAATTACTGCATTTAGAGAGCAAATTGAGCTTGGTAGGTTTACTTTTTAAGAAAACATTATACAGCATGAACAAAATTTTAGTTCTAGCAAGGTAATGATGAATTTTAGTGTTTATGTGATTTTTTTTTTGTTGTTGTTGTTTTTACCAGCTGTTACTGGCTTTTTCCTAAGTAGAAATCCATGTGTTTCTCTGGATCTGAACTTCCACTGTACTCTGTCTATATCTCAATGCAGTGCATTGCCTTGAATACTCTGCATCCTATTGGTAATGCTGAATACAAAGATCAGATCCCATTCATCTCTGCTTCCTGGCTCCTGTCACCAGGGCCACCTTACCTCTTTTCTTGTGTGAACTGCCTACATTATTGAGAATGATTTATTTCAACTATAATGTGAAAGATACCCCAGAAGCTCTGTAACTGGCCCTGCTGTCCAGTCTTTGAAACATAGTGGTTACATGTTAGGCCTTCCTTCCTTCCTTCCTTCCTTCCTTCCTTCCTTCCTTCCTTCCTTCCTTCCTTCCTTCCTTCCTTCCTTCCTT